TCGAAGGATCAAACTGAAGAAGGGAGTTTTTGCTGATGAGAACTCTGCAACCACGGAATCTGACATCGAAGAAACTCTGAAGAAGCTTGTGGGGAAACTGAATAAGTCCCCTCAAGAAGTTTTCGATGCCTTGAAGAACCAGACTATAGATTTGGTCTTAACTGCTCATCCGACTCAATCAGTTCGTAGATCTTTGCTTCAGAAGCATGCAAGGTTGACTTATGAGCTACTCTGGATTGTTTTTATGTTTATTTTTATAGTTGACTTATGAGCTAGTCGGATTGTCAGTTCCAGCTAATTGGGAAATGCCAACTAACTCGTTCGTTCACTATGCAGGATACGGGACTGTTTAGTTCAGTTGTACGCCAAAGACATTACTCCCGATGACAAGCAAGAACTTGATGAGGCACTTCAGAGAGAGGTGAAAATTGCACTCCAATTATCTGTCGCTGCTGTTTTCTATTTTCTTTCTCTATCCTGATAAAGAACGCTCGAATGTCTGAATTTGCAAACTGCTACCTATTTATTATTATTGGAAATCATACTTGATAGCTGCATGCCACTGGAAATAATAATTGATAGATGTATGCTGTGACATTGTTGCAACGTGACTTGGTATAATTAACTGAACACGACACATTCGAAACTTTTTGATCTTGACGATCATGAATGTTTGCCTTTTCCGAATTGTAGATTCAAGCTGCATTTCGTACTGATGAAATCCGTAGAACTCCTCCTACCCCACAAGATGAAATGAGGGCAGGAATGAGCTACTTCCACGAGACAATTTGGAAGGGTGTTCCTAAATTTCTGCGCCGTGTTGATACTGCTTTAAAAAACATAGGGATCGATGAACGTGTTCCTTATAATGCACCACTAATTCAGTTTTCATCTTGGATGGGTGGTGACCGTGATGGTACATTATCTTTTTCCGCACTGATGATACCTCTGGAAATTGTAGCTGCTTCTAAGTTATTAGCTTTTCGTTTGATCGGTCCACAGGTAATCCCAGGGTGACACCGGAGGTTACAAGGGACGTCTGTCTTCTTGCTAGAATGATGGCTGCTAATCTGTACTACTCACAGATTGAGGATCTCATGTTTGAGGTATTTACACCTTTTGCATTATGCAATAGGCAATGTAAGGGACCATACTCAATCATATTTGTCTGCAGTTGTCTATGTGGCGTTGCAGTAGTGAGCTTCGTGAGCGTGCAGACGTGCTTCATAATTCATCAAGGAGAGATGCAAAACACTATATAGGTAATCAATCACGACGTCTCTTCTATAACAGAAGAAAAAGAGTTTGTGAATGCATTTATTTTTGCTCGAAATTTATCTCATAGAGGAGATCACAAGTTTGGTGCTAATGAATTTAGATTCTTTTTTGTTTGTATAGAATTTTGGAAGCAAGTTCCTGCCAATGAACCCTACCGAGTGATTCTTGGCGACGTAAGGGACAAGCTTTATCAGACGCGTGAGCGTTCTCGCCATTTGTTAGCTAATGGATATTCGGACATCCCAGAGGATGCGACTTTTACAAATGTTGAGCAGGTTACCTCTTCTTGGATCTTCAAAATGCCTTTTTTTATTTTTTTTTTGGCACGACGATGGTTTAATGTAATGCAAATATTTGATATTATTACCACTGAACTGCATAGGCAGATTACTTATAAAGTCATGAACATTTCCCAACTTTTGCAGTTCTTGGAACCTCTTGAACTATGCTACAGATCCCTCTGTGCTTGTGGTGACCGACCGATTGCTGATGGCACCCTTCTTGATTTTTTGAGGCAAGTGTCCACTTTTGGCTTGTCACTTGTAAGACTTGACATCAGGCAGGAGTCAGATCGTCACACTGACGTTTTGGAAGCCATTACTCAGCATTTGGATATTGGTTCCTACAAAGAATGGTCCGAGAAACAGCGACAAGAATGGCTTCTATCGGAACTTAGTGGCAAACGTCCTCTTTTTGGTCCTGATCTTCCTACAACTGAAGAAATATCTGATGTTTTAAACACGTTCCATGTCATAGCGGAACTTCCTTCTGATAACTTCGGTGCATATATCATTTCCATGGCCACTGCTCCGTCTGATGTTTTAGCAGTTGAGCTATTGCAGCGCGAGTGCCATGTTACGCAACCGTTGAGAGTTGTTCCCCTGTTCGAGAAGCTTGCAGATTTGGAGGCTGCACCAGCAGCCCTTGCTCGCCTCTTCTCGATAGATTGGTACAAAGACCGAATTAATGGAAAGCAAGAAGTCATGATTGGCTACTCGGATTCTGGTAAAGATGCTGGACGGTTCTCTGCAGCCTGGCAGTTGTACAAGGCTCAAGAGGAGCTTATAAAAGTTGCAAAGCAATATGGTGTGAAGCTAACTATGTTTCACGGTCGGGGTGGCACCGTTGGAAGAGGAGGTGGACCTACTCATCTTGCTATTTTGTCCCAACCACCTGAGACAATTCATGGTTCGCTCCGTGTAACAGTACAGGGGGAAGTTATTGAGCAGTCCTTTGGAGAAGAGCACTTGTGTTTTCGAACACTCCAACGTTTCACTGCTGCAACACTTGAGCATGGAATGCACCCTCCAGTTTCACCAAAACCTGAATGGCGTACACTGATGGACGAAATGGCTGTTGTAGCGACAGAAGAATACCGTTCCATTGTCTTCCAAGAACCACGATTTGTCGAATATTTCCGCCTTGTAGGATTTCTTCTGCCGACTCTCATAATTTCATTCTTGAAATCTACATTGACTTTGTGATGTTTTTAACTTAATATTTTGTACTCATGATTTTAGGCTACACCTGAGCTTGAGTATGGTAGGATGAATATTGGAAGCCGTCCATCAAAACGAAAGCCAAGCGGGGGTATCGAGTCACTTCGTGCAATCCCATGGATCTTTGCATGGACACAGACGCGATTTCATCTTCCAGTTTGGTTAGGCTTTGGAGCAGCATTCAAGCATATTATTCAGAAAGATGTTAAGAACCTTCAAATGTTGCAGGAGATGTACAACGAATGGCCCTTCTTTAGGGTCACCATTGATTTGGTCGAAATGGTGTTCGCTAAAGGAGACCCTGGCATCGCAGCGTTGTACGATAAGCTCCTAGTTTCGGAGGACCTCTGGCCATTCGGACAGCGCTTGAGAGCCAACTATGAAGAAACAAAGAGCCTTCTACTGCAGGTAAATTTTGGCCATTTTCCGTTCAATCACACAACGTCTTCTTCATTCAATCATAGTTTAATCCTTGTGCTTTGTAGATTGCTGGACACAAAGATCTTCTTGAAGGGGATCCTTACTTGAAGCAAAGACTCCGTCTCCGTGATTCATACATCACGACTCTGAACGCTTGCCAAGCATACACACTGAAACGAATCCGTGATCCGAACTACCACGTGACAACGCGTCCACACATTTCAAGGGAAATAATGGAAGCAAGCAAACCAGCAGACGAACTGGTGAAGCTAAACCCGAAGAGCGAGTATGCACCTGGGCTAGAGGACACTCTGATCTTGACCATGAAGGGTATTGCTGCTGGAATGCAGAACACTGGTTAAGCTAAACAGGAGTAGAGCAGCATGAAGGCTATGCTGCTGCCATAAGTTGTTTGTTTTTGCTGGTTTCGTGCAAGATATAAGTGTTGGCATGAAAGAGAAGGCTCATAATTATGCAATCAGAAGTGGATGTTGTTTAAGTTAATCCAGCTTTTGGTGAGGAGTTCTTGAGTGACTGTGACTGAGTCCTTTGCTGCTGCATGATCAACACTACTGTGGCCCAAATAGTAGAGTGGCACAGTGGATTATGTTGTTGCCTTGCAAGGCGTTTGAAGTTTAAATAATTGCATTAATGCTGAAACAGTCCTTTTGTGATCCTTTTTTCTTATCACTTCTCTTCACTCTACGTTTGATCTTGCTATTTATTTTCTTCCATTGCCATTTCATCCCATTCTAAGGTTCAATCTACCTTCTCCATTTGTCTTTTAAGAAGGAAAACTGTCCAAAGAAGTAAATTACTCTTTCTATGTTTGGTGTTACGGTTGTGTGGGACAGCGATCATGCAGCCCTTGTTCTAGCCCAGCGAATAAGTTAGTTCGTGGACAATGTATGCTTGAATCTCGAGTCACGTTTTCGAGATATGTTTTAGAGATTCTTGAGAAGAGAGGAGTCGACCCATATATCCTCCTAAGGAGAAGTTGGATCTACATTGGATCTCACCCAAATCGAAAGTTGGATCCCACAAGTAAATAGAAAGTTGGAAAGTATGGTTTCAAACCTTGGTTCAAAGAGAAGTAGGCCATGCTAATGTGTCTTACATAATCCACATCTCAGGGTCCAAGCGCAGATGAGCACATTAGATGATCCACATCTCAGGGTCTAGGCGATGATGAGCACATTGGATGATCCACATCCCAGGGTCCAGGCGCTGATGAGCACATTGGATGATCCACATCTTAGGGTCAGGCGCTGATGAACACATTGGATGATCCACAACTCAGGGTCAAGTGCTCATCCACATCTCAGGGTTAGGCGCTGATGAGCACATTGGATGATCCATATCTCAGGGTCAGGCGCTGATGAACACATTTAACTATCCATGTGGCTAAGAGCGACGCAATTATCAGGGGCGCGCTCTACCACTGAGCTAATAGCCCGTTGTACAGGCCTCTCGCTGGGGCCCGCTATGCTAAAAGCGAGAGAAACCCCATCCCTCGTTTACGGGAAATGTTTTAGAAAACGTGAACAAGGAAATACCTAATTCAAGATAAGAAGTGGCAACTAGCATGTAAAAGAAGTTTGGAATGAGCATGCAGCCATGAACAACATGTCCTAGACAAGCAGGACCACGACATCTAACATGCGACCATAACACGCTTTGGACAAATATGACCGTGACACGTGACTACGTTATATAATCTTTTCATTTGCATTTACTCTTTAGTTAATGGGTTATGTTTGTTTAATTTATATATATTATATATAGAATCTAAACAAGATGCTCGCAAAAGACATTCTTAAGACTTCGATGTTAAGCAAAGCACTCGACTTTCGAACACCGTATTAAACCAGTCTCTCCGATTTGCCACACTCCCAACGGCGAAAAGGAAATGGCTCTAGAGATGCGGCAGAGGCGGCCCCTCACCTCCGACACTCCGCCGTCCACGGCGGCTTCTTCTTCCTACTCTAAGTCCGTTAAGCCAGGCCGATCGAGCACCACTGAAGACGATGGCAAAGGAATCGGGTGGTTCTTCCCACTTTTTGCTCTGGGGCTTCTCAGGTACATGAGTGCCACATCTAACATCATTCACGACTGCGACGAGGTTTTCAATTATTGGGAGCCCCTCCATTTCCTTCTCTACAAATCTGGCTTCCAAACTTGGGAATACAGGTTCGTACTCCAAATTCTCCCTTCATTCATTCTAAGCTCTAACTGTTACGTTTTTTAGGGTTGATTTCTTCCTTGTTGGCATCTTTCACTGTTGGTGCATTGGGTTTCTTTCTTACCCTAATCGTTCTCTTAGTTTTCATACTGTGAAAACGTTGCGTTTTCGTTGTTGTTTCCCAGTGGCTTGAGCTGGATAACATACCATATAGCAGTTTTTTTTTTCTCTTTTGGTAGAACCAAAGTATTGAATTACAATAACCAACGATATGTTAATCGAGGAATAAGGCAAAGATGCCATGATTTGATGGAGTATGTGTGGTTCTAATGGCCTTGGAATGTAAAATCCTGCTGAATGTGTGAATTAGGTTACTCGCATTTTATGGCTGTTCTATTGGCATGACTTGAACACACACCACACACACATAATTCATATGGTTTCCTATATGTTCAAGTGCATCCTTAATCAAATGATGTATATTTTGTTATTCATCAAATGATGAAAACTCTTCCTAACAAACGCGTTATAAAAACCTTGAAAGAAAGTCCGAAAGGAAAAACCCAAAGAGGATAATATCTACTAGTGGTGGACTTGTGTGAATTATGTTACTCACATTTTATGGATGTTCTATTGGCATGACTTGAACACACACACACATACATATTTCATATGATTTCCTATATGTTCAATTGCATCATTCATCAAATGATGTATATATTGTTATCATTCTTGGCTTTCATTTGAAGATGGGTCTAACTCTGGTAGAGCAGCTATTTGGAGTTAGACATCAGATTTTGATGTACTTAGAAAAAGACTAGTAAGAGTGAACATTTACATGAGGTTGATTACGTTCAACGAGATCTTGTTTAATTTGTATGTTCCCCGAAACTATGCTCTCTTGCAGTTCTGAGTTTGCGCTTCGGTCATATTTATACATTGTTCTCCATGAACTAGTGGGCAGACCAGCTGCGTGGCTGTTTTCTGAGGATAAAGTAAGGGGTCATTCTGTCTCAGTTGTTATTTCATGTAGATCCAGATATGTCTGGTTTTAATCTCTCTTTAAATTGCAGGTGAGAGTATTCTTTGCTGTAAGACTTTTCCTTGGTCTTCTATCTGTTATTTCAGAAACAGTTCTTGTTGTGGCACTCTCTAAGAAGTATGGGAAGCGCCTTGCCACTTATACTCTTGCAATGTTATGCTTGACCAGTGGTTGTTTCTTTGCTAGCACTAGTGAGTAACTTCTGAAAGGCCATATTAATGTTTTCTTGACTTAATTAAATATTTTTTTGTTTAATCTGGAATTGCCTCAGTATTTGGTGTTGTTGCCTCGTTTTACAGGTTTCTTGCCTAGTTCCTTCTCCATGTATGCTGTTTCTTTGTCATCTGGGTTATTTCTACTTGAGAAACCTGCTCCAGCAGTTGCTGTCGCTGCTGCTGGTGTAATTCTTGGCTGGCCGTTTTCGATCTTGGTTTTTCTTCCAGTCACACTTTATGCTTTACGCAGCAAATTCAAAGAGGCGTTTCTTGCAGGGGCTCTAACATCCATAATTCTCCTTGTATGTCTTCTCAAGTAATTTTATTGTGTTATTTATGATCTTTTGTTTAATGGAAGATTTTATTAAGAGCACGAGGATAAGGTACTTCTTGATTCTGTTCATATAAAATATGTTAAAGGGTGCTCAAGCTCCTATGGCTTGGCTTGTAGGCCTTCTCGCTGCTTGTTGACTACTACTACTATAAAAGGTGGACATCATCTGTGCTAAATTTGCTGATATATAACGTCTTGGGCGGTGGTGAAAGCCACTTGTATGGAACCGAAGGACCATTGTTCTATCTCAGAAATGGATTTAACAACTTCAATGTTTGTTTCGTTCTTGCATTGCTCTTTCTGGGAATTTTACCAATTTCAAGGAAAAAGTATGTGCCGGACTTGCTTGTGGTCATCTCACCTATTTATATTTGGCTTGGATTCATGACATTGCAGCCACACAAGGAGGAAAGGTTTGATACTTTTACTTCTTTATTGTATAACTTCCTTGAAATTATGGTTCGTTCTCTTAAAAGTGTATGCATGGTGTCTAGAAACCCAAAAGATGATTCGATTGAATACCACTTTTTCTGCTTGGAACTTCTGGGCTGTTGAAGTTCTGTAAAGATTTTCCCTTTTGATTTTAAGTTGAGGATGAAAAGATAAACGGTGCTAGATATTGTGCTCTGTTAGAAAGAGTACTCCCCGTTTCGAATTTGATTATATTGAATTTGAAGGCTTCATCTAGCATTCCTAATCAATATTCTTTGTTGAAACACTTCCTGAAATACGTTGCTGGTGGCATATATTTGGTGTCTTCTCCTGATATCACATTGCTGCTGCAGATTCCTTTATCCAATATATCCTCTTATTTGTGTTGCTGCTTCAGCCGTCATCGAGTGCTTTCCAGATTTTTTCAGAGATAAATACAATCCACATGATAATTCTGTACTCGTCGTGGTGAGTATCTACCATCCCCTCCGTTTTCGGATTTTATTACGATATCATTTCCCTCTATTTAGTTAGTTAATTTGCTTTACAGATAGCAAAAGTTCTTAGACCCCTTGCTCTTGGCCTTATCCTTTGTGCATCCCATGCTCGTACATTTTCATTGATTAATGGTTACTCTGCTCCGCTGGAGGTTTACAAGGTCTTGGCTCACCACGAGGATATAAGACCAGGTTAGATATATTATCTGTTCTTTTGAGGTTAGTTGAGCTTGACAAGATGCTAATCTTTGTTGCAGCTTCTCCTATTAGTCGCAAAAGTATCGGGAAATTGTAAATTCGTTTGGATAAAGAATTTTTTACTCTGCATATCACTTCTTTCAGGTTCCACAATTTGTGTTGGGAGCGAGTGGCATCGTTTTCCATCATCATTTTTCATTCCTGATTACGTGCAAGAAGTAAGATGGATCGACGATGGGTTCCGAGGTCTTCTTCCTTTCCCGTTTAATTCTACCTTGGGAGGGACTGCAGCTGCTCCACCATACTTTAACAACAAGAACAAGGCATCAGATAAGCAATATGTACTAACTCCAGATCCTGAAAGGTTTTTTCACCCTTAATTTTACGCATGGTCTTTTACTGAATCCCTTTTGTTTCGTGATGATAAACTTCACAGCTCCGAGATCTCGATGAATGCACCTTCCTTGTCGAGCTTCAACTCGATAGACCGTATGCTTCTCGTGGAAGTGACACATTGAAGTGGGAGGTAAAAGTCCGTTTTCTCTTGCCTTGCTGCTAATGTAGGATTTTACTGAGACATTTTTACTTGCAGGCTATTGCAGCATGGCCTTACCTGGACAGGGAGTTCTCACCGCCATTTTATCGGTCATTTTTCATTCCCTACTTCTGGCAGACTAAAAATGCTTTTGGAATGTACAAGCTGCTTAGGAGAATAACAAAGTAATTCTCCATATCTTACGATGTCTCCAACGTTCGTCAAGCAGGCTAGAAACTTAGCTTATAAGAGAGTTTGCCAAGAATTTTCCCTTGTGATCTTCATGCCTGCCATGCCACCAAAATTCAGAAAAAAAATCTTTCAGATCCGAGGGTGGTAATTTATTCGGTAGAACTTTCTCTTTGTTGATCTTTTAGCGTTATGTGGGTAGAAATTCGAACATCTAATTTGTTTGGATGTGTAATATCTCATATAGTTGAACTATACTTAGATTAGTTGATCTTGAATCATTCCGTTATGGACTACCGTACTCTCAGCCTCCAATGTCGCAATTATTTTATTTTATTTTTGCAATTAAAGCGTGCAAAAATGACTATTTTTTCCTTATAAAAGTTAATATTTTATCTGTCAAGCAATTTCATTAATAATTGTAGGCCACTTATACTAACAAAGAAACCATGAGGTGGATATATATATAATTTTGTATCGAATAGATTTTAATCCAGTAGTTACTATAACTTTCAATTTTGAGTTATAAATCTTTGCCATATGTCTAGAAAAATGATGATATTACATAATAATCAATTTTGTCTACTAAAACCCGAACTTGATCCCTTCACTCTTAATATTGTGTTGAGTTGATCTGTACATTTTTAAAGTCAAGAAATCGAGCAGACGAAATCTACTAAATTTTTAAAGAATTTGAATGCTATCCTAAAAAGGCAATTTCTGTTCATGATGGCAAAGAAAATCAAGTAGAGAGGGAGCACCTTGTATTTAGACTTCCTCCTAGCAGGATTTTGAAGAACTTGAATAAAAGGGAAGAGGGGAGAGCAGTTTTATTTGAATTACAGGCATGCAGGAATCCCTGAAGAACTGACACAACAGCTTAAACATTCAGTAGATACCATGAACATCATTGTAAACGTCCACCATTGCCATGGAAATTTGAATCTAAAGAACCAGGAATCGGCCATCTTCTAAACCTAAAACCTCCAGCTGATTCCATTTTCTTCTTGCCACAGATTTTCTTCACATCATCATAAACAATGATGTAGTTTGAGCTGCTTATGTTCCTGGAATAACAGTGTTCATCACCATGGAATCTGTAATCCTGCTGCGTACTTCCCAACCCACTTGCCACCAAATGGCCCTTCACCACCATTCTCCCCTGCCCATTTTGAACATTCTTGACAGAGCTCATAAATGATCCTACCCCATCACTCTTCTTCTCATTGAATCCCAATGTCAAGTTAGCTAATGATTCATAACTTCCATTTCCTCCATCTTTGATGTCAGAGTACATGTAAAGAGGGAAAGTTTTCAGAGATTTGAATGAATAAACAACAGAAGATTTCTTCTTGGCATGAACACTACAATTGAATTGAATCTCCTGGTTCACAATCTGGCTGTTCCCATCATTTCCCATCACCATTGAGTTACTATATCTAAGATCTTGGTTTGTTTCAGTTGTGACAATTCCAAGAGACGATTTCACCCATCCACTTGACGATACCGATCGGGTTACCTTTGTCAAAAACGCTCCGTCTAGACCTGTAAAGTTTGAATTCATCGAAACGGAACAGGGTGAGACAACGTGATTCAAGAGCTTTCCTTCGGTTTTTGCAGTGTGTTCATCCAACCAAAGATGAAGGTCTGCATTGATGTACCATACATTTAAACCATGTGTGACACTGAATCCAAAGGTGTGAAGCTTTCCATCTAACAAATGGCCTAAAAATGGTGTGAGTTCTATGTCATAAGAGGGTAGATTGAAGGAACCAATTCCAGATATTGGCCTCCAAAGAAGGGGATTCACACCTCCTGTAAAGATAACAGTAAAAGGCCAAATGGCTCCAACAATCTCATCATCAAGACTAACTAAAACCTCCCTAAAAGGTCCATTTCCAGGTGAATCAGTGAGATTGTTTGTGGTAATGTAATCATTTGGAAGATTTGAGTACCAGAACTCATCGTTTTCATGAAAAGACACATAAACTTCCAACACAGCCCTGTAAACATTTTGGGGAATTTCAAAGTTCTTCAACTGAACATCAGTTGAATTCTTAACATGAAACCATAATCCATCATTCAGTGGCAAATTCCGGGAAATAGGTACGATTAAATCAGCCCTAGAATCAGAATCATAGCCAGACGCAAATTTTGGAGAAGACAGTATATTATCACCATAATCATTCTCTTCAGGATAAAAATGGATATGAACTTTCACATGGTATATTCCAGTGTATGTCTTATCGATAATGTTACCTAAATAAACAGCCAGAGTTTGATTCTTCAAGAGCAACGAATAATACCTCGTAATGTCCTTCTGAACTGTCCAAACGATCCCCGTAGCCCTAGGCTCCGCCGTGCAGCTACGAAGAATCTCAACACCGCTAAGCCAAACGCCGAAGATTCGATCGAATTGCCTTCCTCGTGGTGAAGAACGAGGAGAGAGCAGGGTTTGGCCTTGGGCGTGTCAATGGGTTTGGTGACTTCGAAGAAGACGGTCGGTGGAGTAGAATGGTTGGCGATTGTTGCGAGGTCGGAGTCGTAAAGCAGATCCGGTCGTCGGAGGGTGGTTTTGTGAAGATTGGCGTCGGAATGAAAGGGGAGGAGGAGGAGGAGGAGAAAGAGGAGGGATATGAAAAAGGGAGATGAAGGAAAAGAAGCCATTAATGGCGGGGTAGAGTGGATTGTTACGACTCTTCTGGCTGGGTTTTTATGGAAGATGAATCGAGAAGCCATTTTTTCTAACTTTGGAAGAAAATTTATGCTTTTTCTTACCCCAACCATTGCAGCGTAAGCGATTTAAACCAATCAAACTGTTAATGAACTGTTGCAAATGTGATCATCTGTCGTAACCAGTAACCAACAGATAAAGATTTGAGACATTTTCCATATGTATACCAAACACCATCTAGAAATGTCTCAAATATGGAAAATTATGGTGACTATTTAATAAAATCAAAGTAACAAATTATGGGATGATAATTGATGTCATATCTAATAACACAAATAAAAATGTTGCACTAAAAATAATTATATGAACTCCTCGTTTTAATATGAACGGTATGCACCTACAAACACTCTTAGAATACTTAAAAAATCATTTAGGACTTTAAATGGTCAAAAGATTTGATAAAGAATTCAAAATTAAGGTTGAGATGTTGGAAACCAAATGATAATGGGGAAGAGATTATTTTTTTTTTTTGACTATCAAGAAATGAGAGAATGAATCATTCAATCTGTTTCAAAGTTCATCAAAGGATTCGGTTTAGAACAGAAATTTGACCAGAATCTCCATTTAATAACAAAACTTCCAAGGGAATATAAGGGGTAGCAATGGACGATCCAAACCTGGAGGATGGTTGCAGTAGTTTGCTACCCGTTGCACATCGAATGGTTCGGAGTCGACCACCTGTTCTCATCTGCCATATCTGCCGTAGATCACACAAATCATTTTCAGTCACTTGGGAGAAGCCTAAGCCTATTATGCTTATATAGAACCAAAATGCCCCAACCATAACCCAGATTCATGTATACGAAGCAGCGGGATAAGCGCGTAAGGTAGCTTACATATATATCCATGGATCTAGGAACTTTTGCTCGTACAAATGCAAAATTATAAACAAAAAGAGCATTTTTTTTATCCTAGTGTGGAGGGTAGGCTCCTTAACTGTAACAGCCCAAACCCACCGCTAACCGATATGGTCCTTTTTGGGCTTTCCCTTTCGGACTTCCCCTTAAGGGTTTTAAAACGTGTCTGCTAGGAAGAAATTTCCACACTCTTATAAAGAATGTTTCGTTCTCCTCCCCAACCGATATGGGATTTCACGATCCCCACCCTGCTTCAAGGCCCAACATCCTCGTTGGCACTTGTTCACCTCTCCAATCGATGTGAGATCTCATAATCCACTCCCTTTCGAGCCCCAGTATCCTCACTGGTACTCATTCCTCTCTCCAATCAATGTAGGATCTCACACTAAATGTAATGTTATCCACTAAGAACTAAGAAGGTTGTGTTTTATATTCAAACCAAGAAGGTTGTGTTTTATGTTCGAACTAAGAAGGTTGTGTTTTATACTCGAATGGTGCAAATCATATTAACTTTCATGTCAAAGTCTGACATTGGGAAGTCTAAACGAAAGATGATTGTGAAGAACGTTCAAAAGAACACTTGAACAAATGTAAAGAGTAAACTCAATTTGAGTGAAAAAAGTACCTCAACTATCCCCTTTCTTGGTGCATGAATAGCCAAACACAAGCAGTAATCATTCTTTGCAGGTTCATACTCTATGGAATTAGAACTTGATGATGCAGTATCTCTATTGATCAACATCTCCATGAACAGACAGTTAGCATCACGATATCCCTGTATTTCATTTGAAGGAGTTTGTTTAGGAGAAAGAGGAACCAAATGTTAATCGCGGGTTCACTTTGAAACATTCGAGCAGAGATTGTGAAATGATATATCAAGTAAAAATAAAAAGGATGACCTTCCATAGCCGAACCACCACAAGAGCTTGCGTGTCCAGGAGCAATATTCGACCCAGTGAATCGGTAACTGCTGCCAAAGTACCGCTTGGAGACAAAGTCAGTTTCTCACCCTTTCTTGGATGGTCCTTCAAGCACGTCAAAGGAGAGGCTGCAGCAATCATGATGCCAAGAAGTTCCTAAAGATTTTGTAAAAATTGTGCAATAGCTTATGCGTAGCTGTTAGAACACTCGAGCAACATGTATCTAACAGTGGCCTGAACTCAATACTAAGCACAGAACTCATAAAGATAAAGAAGGAGAAAGAAAACCATAATGAGCAGAAGTTACCAACAATAACAAATACCGCACTTGAACTAAAAATGCTCATAATAAACCTTTAAACCAGTATCGTATGATAAACTAAGTATTTAACTTCTTAGATATTATTCGCTTTGGCCTACTACGTATCGCCGTCAGCCTCACGATTTTAAAACGCAACTGCTAGAGAGAGTTTTTCACACCCTTATAAGAAATGTCTCATTTCTCTCTCCAACCGATATAAGATCTCACAATCCACCCCCTTTCGGGGCCAGCTTCCTCATTGGCACATTACCCAATGACTAGTTCTGATACCATTTGTAACAACCCAACCCAACCCAACCCAACCCAACCCAACCCAACCCCACCCAACCCCACCCCACCCCTAACAGATATTATCAGCTTTGACCCGTTACGTATCGCCACCAGCCTCACGGTTTTAAAACACGTCTACTAGAGAGAGGTTTCTACACCATTATAAGAAATGCTTCATTCCCCTCTCCTCCCAATGCAAGATCTCACAGTTCACAATCGCAAATACAGAATTTAATATCTTTGTACATCAAGGTTGCTTGAAAAAATAATTCGAGCGAAACGAGTCATAGAATCTTAGGAAATCGATAGTTAGTAAGCATGCAGATAGATGTATTATGTACATGCATTATAATGATCAATTACTAGAATCAACACGCACCTCGAGCAAAATCTTGACCCTTCGGATCTGGCTTTTTAGATGTTTTTGGTTCACTTTGCCAAATCATTTTCGAAAACGAAGCTATTGTTGAAAATGTTGCAGGGACAACTTTTGATAAAATGGCTCCAACTAAAGACCTGCTCTTGTCTTCAGAAAGTCTTTTTACATGATGCCACCACAAAGTATACAAAATGTAACAATAATTCCCTTGTACACAACAACTTGAGACCCATAAATAGCAAAAGAACAGACAAACTGACCTGAATGCTGAAATAACAGCATCTTTTCCAACAGTGACTGCACAAAAATAACGTTCACTAGACTGCCCAACAATAAAAGCAGCTGAATTCAAATACCAGCATAATTTCAGAGAGCTTCCACGACATAAGCACTGCTCCTAGAAACAATCTCATAGTTTTTCCCATGAAATAAAGAGGCCATCTTTTTACCTGGAGTTCCATCAATGGCGGAGGCATAACACCGATGATTGCTGCATCGGCACAAGAACCGTATTTGCTGACATTCCATACTTGATAGGCTAACTTTTCAAAAGAATTTCCAGAATCCTCCATATCTCGACTGTCTGATTTTGGATCCCGAAAACGTGCCTTTGATTCTTCAAACCATTTTTGCAGTGTATTCTGTGACCAAAGCATGTGTCAGGCTATGTTATACTAGTCCAAAACAAATCAAGATCCATAAAGGCAGAGGCAATGTTTCCTTAAGTTTGAAGCACAGAGGTTATGATAAAGAACATATCTGGCTGTAGAGCACAGAGGTTATGATAAAGAACATATCTGGCTGTAGAGCACAGAGGTTATGAACAATTATCTCAACAGCACAAGAATCTAAAACTAAGCTATTTTTTTCAAGATCAAGTTCGTATATTCAAGCTTTAATAACTAAGGAAGGCAGCAAGAACCTGAATATCAGATGCTTCAATGCGAGCAATTACACCGGGCATAGCAATCGAAACCTCCTCGAACGAAGATTCATGGGATGAGTCTCTCTTTGAACCATGAACCCTAATCTTTAGAATTCTTCCAGGATGGATCATCTAAAAACCCACAAATTGGCAGTAAAATCCATCAGCATTGAAAAATTGGAGCCATATTCGGTGTCCAAGAAAATCAAGTTCATAATACACTCTCAAATGATGTCAGGAAATTGCAAATTTTGTGAAATCTTGACGATATGAACGCCAACAATCATATTGGCATCTGGATTCTAAACTACCAAAACATTGTTCAAATAAATAAGAACATCTACCATTCCACCAGCATCTTCCCAGGTGAAAGATCATACAAAACCTATAAGCTAAACTATAATGCTTTCTTAGTCAAACCTTTCTGTTCATAGAAACCAGATTTTGATTTTTTTTTGTCATAGATTTAAGAACAGTGATCGCGCGATGATGAAATCAAAATCAGCATATCACGACAATCAAAAGGGGCTACCTGCTTGAGAATCAAATCCCCATTGGAGGAGTAAATCAGCAAATACCCACAAGAAGTCCCGACCAAAAGCACCTTAAATTCATCGAACACCAACCATTCTAAAGCGGAGATGTACTCCGCTTTGATCGGAGACAAATCAGAAGGCCTGATCTTCACCTTATATCCATCGGAACCCGCCCAACCAAGAATAAGGATGATAGATCGATTGGCCAGCGCCAGAAAGTGCGAGTCGAGGGCGCATATAAGATTAGGGTTGTCGACGAGCCAGCCTTCCTTCCCAGAGCCAAAATCATCAAGCTCCTCGCAAGTTATGCAGCCCAACACCGTCGTGTAGGGTCGTCTCGCCATTGCCGGGAAGAAAAAACCTTGAATCCTTTGCTTTAATGGCGATGAAATTGAATCTGAGCTAGGGCCCATAAAGATGCCGCGAAATAATTAGAAATTAGAACTCAATTATCGTTATCATTTATTTGGAAAATTAATTAAAAAATGGAACATTAAAAAATGTTGTAAATAAATACACATCAACGTTATCTTCTTTGTTCTGTTTCAAGGTTTCCAAAACTGTCAAAAATGGCCACTTCACAGTTCCCTCTCTGTAAAACCCTAAACCCTTCATCGCCATTCCTCCACTCCACCTCCCTCACACCATTTTCCAATCCTCTTCTTCAAACCCTAACCCTAACCCTTAAATCCCATAAAACCCGTAAGCCACTCTCCATTATATCCGGTCTTCCAAATGCTTCCGTTCTTCCGATTTTTCGCCAAATTTCGCAGTTTCCATTTGCAAACTCCCGTCCAGACATTCGTACATTCGCCGGCCGGAGCAAGAAGAAGGGTGGAGGGACTTCTCCCGGCCGGATAGAAGGCAACGCCGAGTTCCGGCGGAAATTGAGGAACAATGTCCGTCGGAAGAGCCAGAAGCCCGCCGAGTCCCATTTCTACCGCCGTAAGAACTC